ATTCAAAAAGATTGGAGCGTCACACACGGCACGCCCCTGCGAAACTCCATTAAAATTAGTACGTCGCATTCTTTTTTATTGTCCGGATACGCTATGAAATCCGCTCGGATAGCGAGTCCACGGTATACAGGCCGTTGCGGATGATCGCCGAGCAGTAACAACTCTCCCGCAGCAGTCGGTGCAGGGGTGCACTATTATGTACCCTTGAGTCGGTGGTTAGAAGTGCACCATCGCCAACTGCCTCTCTCTGCGCATTTATAAATCGGTCCGCAGGAATGGGTCTATTTTGCACGGACCGATGAGACACTTGACACTTGGCGGCTGGTCGCGGAACCTATTTCCACAGCGCAGACAAAAGGCAGTGTCGCGACGCGAGTGTCGCTGCACGCACGCTGTGCTTCTGCGCTGGCGCGTGTATCTTGAAGTCCAGTGTTTCACGTCTCCCGAGGCAGTGTTACACGTCTCCTGAAGCAGTGTTTCAAGTCTCCTGAAGCATTGTTTCACCTCTCCTGAAGCAGTGTTGCACGACTTCTGAAGCAGGAGACGTTAACGGGTGGAAGTCATGTGCACCTCGTCGGTGAGGGTGCTCCGTCTCGTCCACCGACCGAATTGGATGCACCCGTGGTCAGTCGCGCGACGGCCGCCGGAAAGAATGGTCGGTGCGTCGTCCGTTGTACACTCCACAAGCAGGCAGAGCGGGCAAGTGTGGACGTGGGTTCTTTTGGCAGGAGGAGGGAGCTGCGCTGATGGGGATAATGCGGTTGCTTACAGCTGACTCGGGCAGTCGCCAGCGAACGGCAAGGTGCGATCTGCGTGGCTTCACGAGATTACTGCAATGGCGCCAACCGCGATTGGGCCAATCACGGTCGCTCTCCGTCGCTTTTTGACCAATCCTGGCATAGAAGGGACCAAAGATACTGAACCGTCCATGGTGATTGGGTCGAATGGAATCTCCACCACGCGGGTACCGACGGCAAGTTCACTTTACCCATGCGCTACCGAGCAGCAGCAGAAGACGACGACGATGGACCGCGCGTGGGCAGCTTCGCCGAGACGTACAGCCTCGGCGAGCAGCTCGGCGACGGCTCGTACGCGACGGTGCACAAGGCCGTCGCGTGGGCGACGGGCGAGACCGTCGCAGTCAAGCGCCATCAAGAAGGCATGCAAGCTTCGCGACGTGCGCGCTGAGATGGCGTTCGTGCGCAGCCTCGCGCACCCAAGTATTGTGTCCGTGCGCGACCTTTTCGTCGAGTCGGACGGGTACTATGTCGTCATGGAGCTTGTCCGCGGCGGCGACCTCTACGACCGACTGCATAAGAAGGGCGTGTTTCCGGAAGAGAAGGTGCGGGCGCTCATCTACAATCTCTTGGTGGCCGTGCACCACTGCCATGAACGCAAGGTCATCCACCGCGACCTCAAGCCCGAGAACATCCTCCTCGTTAACGACGACAGCGACGTGGACCTGAAACTGGCCGACTTTGGCTTTGCCGCCAAAGTCTCGTCCAAGCCGCTCGTCGATATGTGCGGCACGGCCGGGTACGCAGCCCCCGAGATTGCCAAGGGCTTGCCGTACTCGACGCCCGTCGACATTTGGAGCATCGGCGTCATCATGTTCGTCCTCATTACGGGCAACCTGCCCTTTGGCACGGACCGCGAGACGTTCCGAAGCATGTGCCCGCTGTCGCGGCCGCCGCTGTGGTACCACCCGTACTTTTGGAGCGTCATCTCGCACGACGCGCAGCGCTGCCTCGAGCGCATGCTCGTGGTCGAGCCGGCGTGCCGTGCGACGGCCGACGAGCTCCTCGACGACCCGTGGTTCTTTCCGCTGATGAAAGCGCCGACCATCGAGCCGCTGCCACGCTTCCGCCGCAGCTCGACAGCGTTTCAAAAGTACATCAAGCCGCTCTGGAAGCGCGTCTCGGGGTACCTCCCGCGGCGCCAAGCGCAAGAATTTACGCTCTAACGTGTCCTTCGATCGAAGAAGGCGTCTATTGTTATTACTCGTATTATTTGCTAACCTATTATCGAATGTTTTGTTATGTTATGTTTGTTTACACTTGACGTGAGCTAAACTTAGAGGGATGCCCGAGGCGCCGCGACCGGCCACGGCCGTCATCTATGCAAGCCAGAGCGGCGACGCGGCGCAAATGGCCCTCGAGCGCAGCGTCGTGCACATGATCATCGAGCGCGAGACGTGCCTCGAGGCGCTGCTGCAAGTGACGCCCCACTTCCGCGACCCCCATAGCAAGGTGCGACCGTGGAAGGTCATCGCCAACCTCACGCTGCAGTACCGGCGCGCGTCCATTGACGTCGTCGAGGGCATTCTGCAGTGGCGAGCGCTCTTGGTACGCACGTTGATCTACTATCTGTCGATCTGATTGCGCCTTGCACAGGGCGCGCCCCGGCAGGCCTTTTTGTGGAAGCAGACCAACTACTTGAAAAAGATGATCGACGACACGGCGAGTTTCGCCCAAGTGCCAGAAATGTTTCGCGACAACCACGGCGACCTCGCACTCAACCCCTTCCTATCGCCCTTCGCGCTCACCGACGCCCTCTTTGGCCTCGACGAGCCGGCGATGCTCGCCAAGGCGCGGCTCGCGGGCAGCGAAATCGGCGGCATCGACATGGACCGTATCTGCCGCGCGTCCAAGCTGCTCTTGGGCGAAGGCGTCGTGCGGACGAAAGCCGAGACGCCGACGAAGGACGAGCCGCCTAGCACCCCTCGGACGCCAAAATCCCAGGCGGTGACGCCGCCAGTCGAAGCGCCCGACCTCGCGCCGCACGACAAGCTCATGCTCATGAAGCTGCACCTGGACCACGGCAGGGCCAAGCTGCATGCGCTCGAACAAGATCGCGCGACCCTCTCGGAGCGCATGACCGAGATCACGGCCAAGCTCGAGGCCACGACGCTGCCGAGCAAGGTGCGCGTGCTCCAAACCAACCTCGGCACGCTCAACAACAGCCTCCGAGCGGTCTCGGGCGAGATCTTCCAGCGGCGCAACGAGCTCGCGCGCCAAGAAGCGACGTACCGGCTCCAAGCCAGCAAGGCCAAGCGACCGCGGCCGCAGATTCCCGACGAGCTCCACCAAGTGGTCGCGCAGGCCAAAAAATGCGCGACGAGCTCGTCGCGGCCCTCGCGCGTCGCGAGCCCGAGCCAGCAGCACTCGCGCTCGACGCGATGAACGAAGCACAGGTCTTTGCCTTTGTCAAGGACCTCGGTCTCGACGCGTGTGCGGAGAAGCTCAAGGCAATGGGCATTGATGGGCCGCTCCTGGCCGTACGTCAAGCTATACTCTGTCCTGGGAAAACGACGTGGGGCGTAGGTAAGCACCGACCAGGACCTTCAAGAGCTCGGCATCGAGGTGCGACTCCATCGCGTGAAAATTTTGCGCGAAGTCGAAAAGCGGCTCAAGGACGGGCAGTAGCGTTTCATACCCTACCCCTGGGACCATAACCTACCCCTGTCGACTGGCGTTGGAAGCATGTGTCTCGATGTTATAACACTAGGGAACCGTATGGTCGGGCGTCGTGCTACGTGCCCTCTTTTCGGTTGTGTGCATGGAATAAAAGTACTAGGGTCCTTCTCGCCTCGACGTCCCTCCTCCACGTGCACCGGGGCACAGCGGGCCGACCGAGTGGCCACTTGTACGACCGAATTACAAGCGATTAGTAGAGTGTCTGTGAATAAAAATGCCACGCGCTCAGTTAGCGTGGGGCGATTGGCGCCGGAGCTCGAGCACGAGTTGGCGGGCCGACGGGCGCAGTTGCGGGTCGTGCTCCAAGCAGCGCAGCGCGATCGCATGGACCCACTGCGGGCAGTCGGTCGAGAAGGACGGCGAGAGCGTTCCGTTGATGACCATGCTCATAATCGCCGTGTCGACGAGCGGCTTGTGCGTGATCGGGTGGCGGCTCTCCGCGTACGGGATTTTGTGCGTATCGAGCTCCGAGAGGAGGATCCCGAACGAGTAAATGTCGGCGGCGACGCTGTAGTGGCCTTCCTTGAGGATCTCGGGCGCCATCCAGCGGTACGTGCCGACGCCAACCGTCATGGTTTCTTGCAAATCCTCTTTTGAGACGCCAAAGTCGGTGAGCTTGACCGTCTCGCCGTCGCTCGAGTCGAGGAGGACGTTGCGGGACTTGAGGTCGCGGTGGATAATCTGCATCGAGTGCAAGTACACAAGGCCTTCAAGGATGTGGCTCATGATTTTGTGCTTGAACTCCCACGAGACTGTCATTGGCGAGTGGTGGGCCAAGTACGACTTGAGGTCCCCACGGTCCATGAACTCCATGACGGCCATAAAATCCACGGGCCGCGTCCAGCTCACACCGTAGAGCTTGACCACATACGGCGACTCGAACCTACGACAACGACAAATCAGATTCTTACGATACATGTATCGAACGATACCGCGCCATGAGCTTGCACTCGTTGATAAAGTTGAGAATGTCCTTGGGCGACGACTTGTTGGGCAGGAGTCGCTTGACCGCGACGATCGCGCCGTTGTAGCTGCCCTTCCAGACTTCGCCGTACGCGCCTTCTGCGAGCTTCTTGTGCAGCTCGACGCCCGAGACGCGCAAGAACTCGAGGTCCCCGAGGTCGTGGACAAGGCCGCCGAGCGTCGAGTTGCCGTTAATGTCCAGCGTCGATCCGTTCGTGAACTGGTTGCCGCTTCCAAAGGGCGACGCGGCCACGTACGTCTCGAGCTGCTTCTGGAGGTTCCGGCGCTTAATGCAACAGTACGTTGTGAGAGCCGCGATGAGCACAACGGCGCCAATCGATATGCCCACAATGACCAACGTATCTACAAACACATCCGTCCGTATCCATGCAGGAGAGACGCGATAGATAGTAGATGTACAGTTGACGGGCGACCCGATCACGCACACGTGGACTGTGACGTTGGACTTGCCAGCCCAGAGTTGTCGGATGTCACCGTGGAGCTTGTCGCAAGCGGCCTTGTCCGAGTTGATGTTGTCGATGATGTTGAAGCCGCGAAACTCGATGGTCGCTCGCGATTCGTTGCGGTCCCACGGGTCGAGCGCGTCGAGGGCGGCAAAGGACGTCCTGTCCACGTTGAACACGGTCAGCGGGCAGCCCTCGCAGTCGCTACAAAAGGTTGACTTTATGTTTGGATCGAGGATAAGGTGGCATCGTACAAGTAATGCAGCTTGGACGAGAAGGTCACATTGTCGATGCGCGTGACGGGGTTTCTCTTCATGCGACTACGGGTGAGAGTGAGAGAGATCTCGTGCCAAATGCGACCGGCGTACAAGTAGTAGAGGTTGGTGAAATCCCAGTTGACGACTTCCTTGATGCGGTTGTCTCGGAATTTCCTGTCATTTCACATGCGTCAAAACCGGTTTTTGGACACGAGGGGAGCGTACAGCACGGAGAGGTTCTTCGGCAGCGAAATGCCAAGGTTATCGACGTAGTTTTTGTGGATCGACCTACTTGACACATTCATACGATTGCAACACAACGCAAACAACGTACAAGAAGGTGACGCCATCCGGTAAATTGTGCGGGAGGTCCTGGAGATGGTTGTCAATCAACGTCCTAGAATGTGGTAAGAGCGGGAAGGAGTCTCCTCGTATTGCCGTACAGCTTCTCGAGTGACTTTGGCCACACAAGCGACGGCGGGATGACTTGCACGGTGCAGTTGGAGAAGTACCTACAGCCATCACGACCACTTGAATCATCATTTGATATATACGGCCAAGCGACTCGTACGTACATGACGGTGAGCGAGTCGGGCAAGTAGAGTTCATCGAGATTTTCAATCTCGGTCACATTCCAAAAGTCCCTAATGGCCATTGAGTGTCGATGTGGAATCGCTGGCTGAACAAACAGAAGTGTTGATGTCGGTGGCATCTTCAAGTGCTTGACGTCAACCGTCCTGGTGTTGAAGACATACCTATACCAAGTGTGTTGGACATCCATCAACAAGATTACGGAACGTACAAGCTCTGGAGCGACGCCGGCCACGTGAGGCCCGGTGGAAAGTCGCCGACGCTCGTGTTCACAAAGTACCTAGCCGCCTATTGCATGAACACACGCGTGGTCGTCTGCAGAGCGCACATTTCAGCGAGCGAGGGTGGCAGCGTTGTCGTGTTCAGGCCCGTAAACTCGGCCACGTTTTGAAGCGTCCTACAGCCCATCTCGTGAGCTTAACCGAGTACATCGCAGGTAGGATTGTCTACAAGGTGGTAGCCGTCGGCGGCAAAATGGCCTTGGAGAGGTCGAGCGATGGCAGATCGCCAAGCACGCTATCGCATTATGAGCCTCCGATGCTAGAATAGCTGCAGACGGCAGTAGCACGTACACAGTCTTGTTGGTCGTCAAGCGCGAGAGGTCGCCGAACGCATCGGGGTCGGTGCCATCGGTGCGAATGGCGCACGTCCGCGTGACCTTGCAGGGTCGATTGCTGCTGCCACACTCGGCGCCGGTCGTCCAGATGGCATCGATCCACGTCGGGAGGCGCTCGTACGGACAGGTGGCGGCGTCGAGCATGGCGATGGCGGCGCCGAGGATGGCCGCCGTCAAGTGGCGCATCGTTCTTATTCCGCTCTGAGCGCGGTGGAAATGTATTGGGTCATCAATAAAAAGACGTGTGACACACATGGTCCGCCAACCGACCTATCATTTGGTTCGAGGAACGCGCGGGCGAGAGACGCCTGACGAGACAGCACGCGCGCGCTTTGTTCGCGCAGCCGTATGCTCCATGCACACGACACCGCACAGAGACGCACGGGCGTACCCTGGTTGGTTCGGTGCTGCACCGGCGCCAAGCCGACCAGCAGAGTGGGATGTGGTTGTTGAAGATTCGCCCGCCACGATGGGTACAAATGCACAAGGCTTGGAAGAGGCGAGCTACAGTAATGCCGGCGACGTCAATTCGAATGGACCTTTGTCGACGCTACGAGTAGAGGGCAGTACTTCCATGCGCCGGCGGGGGAGGACAGTGAAGAGCGCATCGCAGCAGTCGTGCGCTGGCCACTGCCCTTCGCTGCTGCGAGCCAAGATACCGATGCTAGTACCCTGTACGATCCTATCGCTATATGTCAACGTCTCGAGCGCTGTAGACGCGAAAGCTGAAAGGACTATGGAAAGCTACACTAATGTTCTACCTATTAGTACACATGGAAGGCCGGAATCGCCGATGCGGTGCCGTCACGGCAGCCGCCACGCTGAGCTCTGGCCACAACCGACAGCAGCAATTGGTTGTTCTAGCCGGGCCGCAGTAGCCGGCTCGGTTAGCCGCGTCATCAACCGTGTCGTCAAACCAGCTCGTTTTGAACCGGTTGGAAAGGGGGAGCGGTTCGACGGGGCTTCCACGGATCAGAACGCATTGCAATTCTTGACTCAGCGAGCATGGCCGCCAGCAGCACACACCGCGTCGCGATTGTCACGGGCGGCTCCAAAGGCATTGGCGAAGCCTGCGTCGTGAAGCTCCTTAGCCAAGGCTACAAGGTCTACAACCTCGACATTGCACCGGCGTCCCATGGCATCTTCGTCGCTTGCGACGTGAGCTCCGTCGCCACCGTCGAGGCCGCGGTCGCTGCGATCGTGGCCGAGAACGGCCATGTCGACTGCCTCGTGGCCAACGCCGGCATCTACTTCAGCGCGACGATCGAAGAGACGTCCGAGGTCGACCTCGACCGCATCATCAACCTC